ACTGCATATGATGCTCAGTTTCCTGAGACACTACCTCCTAGGCTCTGTATGATTCTCAGGGTCAAAATGCTCAGTGTCCAAGCATATTCTCTGTTGCTGTAAAATATTGATCAACAGGGGTGCCTGGGTGGCTCAGCTGGTTAAGCATCTGCCTTCCCCCCAGGTCATGCATGCTTCCAGGGTCTTGGGATTGAGCCACACCTCGGGCTCCCTGCTCAGTGGGGAGTCTGCTTCTCCCTCTCCCTCTCCTGCTCTCTCTCTCAAATATGTAAATAAAATATTTTAAAAATAAAATAAAATATTAATCAACAGATATTTACAGAAAGAGCCATGCTTTATTTCTCATTTCACTGCTGGGCACCATAAGGTACAAAAGCGATAAAAATTAATTTCTGACCTGAAGAACTTATAATCTAGTTGAGAAAAATGTGACAGACATAGGAACCAATTCCTAAATAAGGAGCAATTCTAATAGTATGATGACAATGTGTCAAGCTATAGTATTTATAATAAATTATAAGGAATCTGTAATTAGAGAAGAATCTATCATAAGAATTTGTTTAGTAAAGGCAGTCAGAGGAGTTAGATGATGCATATCCTAAGGTGGTTGTGTTGTTCCTGTTTATTAGATAACAAAATTCACCCATTTTAATCTATATTCCCAGTTTATTTTATAGCTATAACCCCTTTTTAACAAATACCATTATAGCAGCCAGTTCTATGTAATAAAAATATTTCTTCTGCTGGCCAGCAGCCCACACTAACACTCTTTGGCTGATGGAGATCCAAGACCCCTGTTGAAGGGAAAACCTGGTATGAGAAAGACAGTCACAAATCCCTCTCTTTTTGGCAGTCAGTCTACTTGACAAGAAGGTCATCCTTTCAGCAGAGTATAGACATAAAGTATAGGTTTGCGTATCTGGACAGTGTTAAATAATCCTGCACAGAATTTGAATTTCTTAATGTTGCATTGATTTTACTTGGAGCTTGTATACATCTTCTCCAAATGAAAGTTGTGACACTGTGGGTTCATCAAGAACATCAGGACCCAATCCGCTCTAGGGAGCAGACCATGAGTATCTCATTTTAGGTCTTTGAGGACAGCGGGCCCCCTGACACACGCCAGCAAAGGCAGTGGAAGACAGTGTATGTGTCCTGCCATGGCCATTCCTCCCCACCAGCTGATTACTTGTGCTAATAGAAGGAAACAATCACATTCCTATTGTCCAAAAGCTACTTTTCACTTGTCTTTGAAAGGGTTTTTGTAATTATCTTAGAATATGGAAATGCCTAAGTAAAATCTGAAGTGTTTGCAATAGATGAAAGAAAAGTAGTTATAAACCTACCCTGTGTCTCTGGGACAGTAGGCGTATGTGAGACAGCCAGGGTTTCTGCATTTACATGAATACTTTCTTGCTTTGGAAGACTAGTATGTCTGTGTTTGGGTTAAGACGCCCTCCTGCCAAGCTTCAATTAGGTGAGGCTGGTAAAGCAAATAAAAGGTAATGGATTGTGTCCTACATGACCTCATTCCATCCTTTGAATGACTTTATCTATAACCGCTAGAAAGCGAGACTCAGCAATAACTGTGTCCAATATAGGCCTCCAGCCAGCAGAGAGCCGACCTCATTTCCTAAGGCAATTGAGGAGCCCCTAGACTAAAAGCTGTATCCTTCACCATCAGATACATCCAGTGTAGTTTTTTCTAAAATGATTAATGCTTTCTTTATACTAAGAGTTCGCCAAACTTCTTGAACTGAGTTAAACAAACTCACCCACAGGTAGCAGTACCTCAGGACTCACAAGTGTGATGACTCAAATTCTACACACTGTATGTTCATTTCTCACCTACAGCCAACATTTGTTATCTCTATACTCAGTTTCTCTGGCTGCCTTATAAACCCAAATATAAGGACCATATTTAATTGCATGTTGGGGTGGGGTGCATGGTCAAGGGATGTTTGTAATAGTCTTTTTTTCTTTTTACCAAATCTGATTCGTGTTCCATTTTTTTTCCAAAACAATTTCCTATTTCTAAAACTGCTGCCAGTTAGTGAAAATTTGGAATCTGCAGTTATCCTGAAGCAGTAAGAGAAAGATTCAGAAATGATATTTGCTTTGCTTTGTCCATTTCACCATTCTTCCTAATTAGGCCCCAGGGTAATGACTTACTCTTCAGAAGTTGAGTATTGCGCATTTCCTGACATCTCGCTGCCCCCTAGTGCAGCACGCTAGTGAGAGCATCCTTCTCTGCGGACATTCTTGATTTGCATTATTACTGTCTGATCAGTCCATTTCATGCTTACCTGGCTTCTGGTAAGGTGATTAGACACTAACCTATGACTCAGACAGAGTCCTTTATGGGTCCCATTTGCCAAGTAGATCTTATTCCAGGAGTAGGATTTTGGGGGGCTAATGAGCACAGATGGGAAATGGAGTCTCAGCTGGACTTTCCAGATCTCTTCCAATGGAGAAACCGGACCCAGAATTTTTAGTGTAGTACCATGAATCAGAGGAATGGATCTTGTGTTAAGGTGCATCCAGAGCAAAGTAACAAGAACGCTCAGCTTGGAGAGAGACAAGCTTAGGAAATTTCCTTAACCTCATTGAGCCTTTGTAAAACTATGATTGATTAAAAAAAAAAAAAAAAAAAAAAAAGCAACCTTAAGGTGTCTTAAGGATTTACCACATAATCCATTTTTAAAGGTTTTATACACTTTCACATGTGCTACAAATCTTTATCTGTTATGTTTACTATGAATGAAGTAGCCATTAGGTACAATTTCAGGATTATGGAAAGGCATTCTGACCCCAAAGACTTGTTCTCAAAACTGTTCTAAAATGATCACAAAATTGTAAGCCACTTATGTGGTCTCCATGAGTTTCTGCCAAAATGACCTTGAACAAGTTGTTTGACTTCGCTGGGCCTCTGCTTTTCCATCTATAAAGTATTAGTAGACCTATTTAAAGGGATTACTCAAGGATTCAGTGAGATAACATATGCCTGGCACATGGCAGATTGCAATAATTATTAGTTCCTTCCTCCTCCTCCCTTATTTTTTTCTGAATCTGAAATAGTCAACACCTGCCTTTGACACCAGATACTAATGGGTAGGTTGTGGACTACAATGTCCTCTTTCTGATTGTCCCCAAATGAGTGGAGAGGCAGCCCTTCCTTGTCACCATTAGCTTTCAACCAAAAAAGAAAAAAGAAAAAAGAAAGGCTTCCAATGTGGGAAAGGTAGTTCTGTGATAGTGAATTTTTTTTTCCAAAAGAATACATTACAAATGTCATATCTACTTTTCAAAATCAGAATATTTAAAAAGCAGATGCTCAGTCTTCCTATGATGAATTAGCAAACAAACAAATAAAGGTCTTAAACTCAATATAACAGAAGGAAATGCCACACCTACGTGCACACACACACACAAACACACACATTCTAGGTAAAATATACATTGTGATGCTTTTATGTGAGGTTTTTGTTTTGAACTGAAAATTGGGCAGATTTTGTTAAGCAGTAAGTTTCCATGGAGAGAAGTAAAAGACACTTAAGGATACTGATTATTTGATGGGAAGGAGGAATTTGCACAAAGATTTTTTTCTCCCACCTATACCCTAGTTCTGTCATCACCCTGACTGTGGTGATGGTCTGGACAGAACCAGAAGAACCACAGAAAATTATGCATTGCATTAAATTTGTGTAAAGTCTTTTCATATAATCTTAGACATTGTTTAGGAATCCACCAGCAGGCAGTTTTGCTCTATTTGATCGAATCTCTAGAGCAGAGCTAGAGCGTTGTTGGATATTGCCCTGTTCAACTCCTTTATTCTATAAACGGGGAAACGGCTAGGGTAACCTCATTTATTATTTATTTCTCTTTCTAAACGTCTTTATCATGTTACTTGTCCCATTTCCCCACAAGATTGCTAGTGTGAAAGCACTAGACCTGGTGTACATGAGTTTGACTCTCTGCACCACACAAGTCCATTCTTAATCTCCAGGGAACTGCTTCTTCCTAAGAGAAACTGTCATTGTAATTGACACAGGGATTACTGAATAAGAATATTGTCTTTAGTAACATTTCTTTAAATTATTTGATGCACAATTTCATGTCCAAGTGTAATTTTTTAGTCTATGTCCTGGGAGTGGAAAGGACTCATTCGTGAATTAGCAGTGAGATTCTTATGTTACACGAGGAGGAAAAGATGTGTTGTAGTTCTGTGCTTCACAAAAATTTTAGGGATTACATTTTACTCCATATAAAGGCCCATTTGGCAACTCATTCAATATTACCCAACATTCAAGGCGTATTGATCAAGCTCCTCCTATGCCTCCAGCACTATTTAGATCTAGCCTTAGAATATATCAAGGAAAAAAACTTAAGACTTCTGCTTTCAAGATTATATCTCGATATATGTTTGTAACATGCGAATGCTATTTCTTCCAGTACCAAATTATTCTTGGACAGAATTCTAATGAAAGCATGTCATTTTTAAAAAATCGTCTTCCTGAAAATGAAAGGTCTCGTTTCTCAAGAAAATGTTTTTTTTTTTTTTTGTCAAGTTGAATGAAATTTGGCACAACATTGCCGCCTTGTGGCTACTAGGATCAGGAATTTACACATAATGGATTGTGTGGTCAACTCTGGTTACCGTAAGGTAAAGTTTAAAGGGAAAATTATCTTGTTTTTTGGTTGAAGCCTTTGACACAAAATTACCTATCCAGGAGTATTTAGAATGAACTCTTTCCTGGGTGGCTCAGTGGTTGAGCGTCTGCCTTCGACTCAGGGTGTGATCCCGGGATCCTGGGGATCGAGTCCCACATCAGGAGCCTGCTTCTCCCTCTGCCTCTGTGTGTGTGTGTGTGTGTGTGTGTGTGTGTGTGTGTGTGTGTGTGGCTCATGAATAAATAAATAAAATCTTAAAAGAGAGAGAGAGAGAGAGAGAGAGTAAGATTTAACTCTTTCTGGTTTTGTTTTTGTTTTTGTTTTAACAGAATGACTGGAAAGGCTCCATCGCTTTTGTAGTTGGAAACCGGATTGAGGATGATCTTCTCATTCAAGCCCTCACCATTGCTGTCCAGGTGCCTCAACGGAAATTCTTCAGCATCGTGTCCTGGCAAGACATTCTCCAGCAGGTATTCCTCGCTTCCCACCTCTAGGCCCTGTGAAGACTTCTGCACTTAAAATAATAGAAAAAAAAAAAACTAATGATAAAATAAATACAACTATCATATCATTGGGCTGTTTGGTAAACTGGCGTGGATTACTAAAAACAAAAAAACAAAAAAACAAAAAAAAAAAAAAAAAAACACCTTAGCTAGAGCCAACTTGAATTGCTTAACCTGGAAGAATTATTTTGGCCCATTTTTGGCCCTTTCAGCACTCGTTCGTTTAACAGAATTTCTGTGGCCATACCAGGTCCCATGCTAGGCTCTCTGAGGAATTATTTATTTAATAAAAGATTCAATAATAATAAAAGACTAAACTATTCCCTCCTCTGAGGAAGTCCATAACTACCAAGAAAAATCAAATCTACAGAGAAACCTAGCTGTCAGAGGTCAGAGAGGAATGACTACATTAAAAAAGTCCTGTCAGGTGGCACATACTTGTACAGTTACTACCGGCTTACCAAAGTGACTATAAATATTTTGCCTAGTTAGTGACTATCCCTTCCTTGCTAGACTTCCCAACCCTTCAAGCCACCTAGGTACTTGAAAGTTATATATTTCTAAGTATTCTTTAAGTGTGTCTTTCTTTTTCATTATAGATGAGTTTAATTTTCTTACAGATCAATGAATCAGATGGACTTTTTGGAACTACATCTAGAAAGGCAAAGAAACCTCCAAGCAGTAGTGCTCCCTTATTTTATGAGGTAGGTCAACATCTTTATTGAAGAAATTTTTTATAATTCTTAGAAAATGAGAATTTAAGTAATAATCTTATAGTCACATTTAAAAATGTTTATTATTCTATTTTTTTAAAGATTTTATTTATTTGAGAGAAAGAGCGAGAGAGAGAGAAAGAGAACATAAGCAGGGGAGTGGCAGAGGGAAAGAGAGAAGCAACTCCCCACTGAGCAGGGAACCCTGCATGAGGCTCGATCCCAGGACCCTGGGATCATGACCTGAGATGAAGGCAGATGCTTAACTGAAGCCACCCAGGCCACCCTAAAAATTTGTTTTAATTCATTCTTTGAAAGCAAATTCTTGATCTTCATTGGAGCTGCCTAATGGTAGGCATTTAAGAAAACTGCCTCCCTTCTTAAAAAAAATCCCTCTCTGGGAATAAAATTGTCCTAGATTGTCTGCACCATCACTGTATCCAATTAAAGGCTATAAATCAGAATTTTTTTTATACAGAAGAGTCGGTTCATACTTTTTCATGGTAATCATTGAATGTGTGATGGTATTAAAGGGAGCTGTATGATTAGTGCATTACAAAGTGTTAGTTTCACCAAAGTAATAATGTAAAAATGCCCAGAAAGTGTTTCCTGTACAAGACAGAGACACAGCTGTTAGAATTTTACATCAGTCTGTGAGATTTGGACACATTTTTCATACTACTTTAACTAACATGAAAATAATGATAATTTTTGGGTTAATGGCCCCTTCTGTTTCTAGTAGATGCTTAACACAAAAGTCCACCCTGGCTGACCATTGGGCTTATGCAAAAACTTAGAACTCATGCTCAATTCAAGGGGATTGCCTCTCACGCTGCCTTGTTAATATCTAACTTACAGTTCATGCGAAGCTATAAAAATCCAGTGATTAATTAGAATATCACTTAAAATTTGTCAGGCACTGTTTTATGGCTCTTCAGACTAAAAGCATAAAGATTTTTGGATCTTTCTAAGACAAACTTGTTTGCACTTTATTTCAGTGATCTAATAAAGTTTTTATGTGTCTCAGGTCTTGGATGATTTCCTAATGGGCTCTTAAGTATTGCCTGAGTACTATCTGAACAAGTTTCATTGGATTTATTTATGCTTGACAGTAGTGTGGATTTTACAGCATTAACTCTTGCTATGCTACTCACACTGTGACAAGAAAAACCTGATTCTGTGCTTTTGAAGTCAAATAACGTACCTTTTACCTTTTGTTATGATGTTCTCAATGTGTGTGCTGCAGTTGAAACATTATGTGATACCTTAAAATATTGGAAGTTTTCGTCTGAAGTAGCCATAGAAATCCCTGTCCTATTCTCAGGCCTGGGACCAATTAGCCCCCCAAAGGACTCTTTATTCTTCAAAGATGCTCAGTAAAAATCAGAGATGATAACAGGCCAGTTTTGATGTCTAATCTGGACAGACATTTTGACTTGGATGTGGGATAGCACAATGTTACAAATCCAGAGTTCAGTTAGAAAACCATTCCTCTCCAATATGTGCTGTGACTCTGGGTTGTGAATCCTTCACTCAGGGGAGGTCCATTTCACATCTGGCTCTACCACATTCTTCCAGTGGAGCATTTGGGCAATAAGCCTCCCACACCCACTCACATACCCTTTTCTGAATGGTTCCAGAAGAAAAAGGAAGGCAGGATGAGCACCAGGGAGATTGGACCTTGGGTATACCAGACGGGCATCAACATCAATTGCTTCAGTATAAACAGATATAGAACATAAAACAAATTCAGGCTTCTGATCAGCATCAGCCAAGGACCGAATTCACATCTGGAGAAGAGGCTGCATTTCCGATCTTAATCCCTTCACACTTAGGACCTGTTTGGGAATTCTATCACATGGTACCTCATCCCAAATGAATTGAAAAGCTACAGGCAGTGCCTACTGAGAACCCCAAAGTGCTTGCAGGTGATGACCATGAAAGAGGCCTAGAAGCCAAAGGCTTTGGGGACTTGTGAACTTTTAAGCCTCATGAGTCTATTTCTTGAAGTCTTGCAGTCTGTAGCAACTAGGACATTTGCCACAGTGAAACTCCTCAGAAGCCTCTTTAGGAAGTCTTATATTTTCTCTCTCAAAGAGAAAAATTTCCTACATTGAGGAAGAAAGAGTAATCTAAGAAAATTGCTTCTGTTATACGTGAAATTCATGAAGTTCTGTATCCTCCACTTTGGAAGGAGAACTCAAGGTAGATATTGTGAAGGCCATACTCTTACATTTCCTTCTGTTTGTAGGATACTCTCATTGGCCTTAAAGTGGAGCCTAGTCGTTCTCACTTTAAACATGGTTCTGACCAGTTCGGCTTTCTGGTTTCCTTGCCTGCAGTCAATTAGGAGCAGCAAATTAAAGTGAAATGTCACCATAGCGCAGTTCATCCATGAGTAGTAAAATAGCGTCAGAACCACATTACATATTTCCAATAACGACTTGAAATGTCTGGGTTGGCAAAGACCACATTCCTAAGTGATTTGCTCAAGCTTTCACTTGGATGGCTTGGTGTTGTGTACACACAGCCTCATTTTGAAATTGTGTAATTTCCCCCTGAAACTTTAGAGTTCATCTAGCCATAGTATTGTATATATGAGAAAGTCTTTATTTATAAACCACAGTTCTTTGAAAATGTGCTTAGATTTGTGCTAATGTAATTCCACAGAGACATAGCTACAGCTCATTTGTTCATTCACCTTCTCTTTTTGGAAACCATGCTCTGCTCTAGCGGAGCTACTCTAAGGACTCTTATGGGAATGGGAAGGGAATATTCTCCTTTGCGCATAGTCTCAGGGATGTTAGCTATTACTTTATTATATTAGTAGTAGTTGTAATATTTAATAACAAAGATGAAAATGATGATGAGGCCGTGCACTGGCCTTACATATGAACATAATTTCCAGCTTGTAATCCTATTTAAGGATGTGGACTTACATGAAAATGGGTATACAGACATTGTATTATATAGTGACCAGTTTTACCAAATAGTGATATTTTACCAAATACCAAACAATTAACAAGTACATTTTTGTTCAACACTAAAGTATTAAACACTATGTAGACAATGGGTGGGGAGGATATGAATATTACAAAGATTCTAACTTCAAGAAGCTTAAGGATTGGTTAGGGGGGAAAAGGGGGAAAATATATCCTAACACACAGTAAATGGTCAACAAATGTTTATTAAAGAAGTGAAGGGGCACCTGGATGACACAGTCAGTTAAGCATCTGCCTTCGGCTCAAGTCATGATACTGTGGTCCTGGGATCAAGCAGGACCTGAAGGCTCCCTGCTCAGTGAGGAGTCTGCTCCTCCCTTTGCCCCTCCCCTCTGCTCCTGCACTCTCTCTTTCACATAAATAAATAAAATCTTAAAAAAAAAAAGAAGTAATAACACAATGCATTAAAATCCATGAGAGACAGATGAAATGCTATGGGCATTCAAAGGAAAATGAGATTACCAATAAAGTGGGGTGGTGAGTGGGATCTAGAGAAGCCTTGTGGAGAAGACAGCATTGGAAAGGGAAGGAAGGGTGGCTAACTTTGATGTTTGAAATATATTATTCTAGGAGTGCCTTGGTGGCTCAGTTCATTGGGCATCCAAGCATCCAACTCTTGATTTCAGCTCAGATCATGATCTCAGGATTGTGGGATTGGGCCCCATGTCAGGCTTTGTGCTGCTGACTTTCTGCCCTTCCCCAACATGTGCTCTCTCTCTCTCTCTCTCTCTCTGATTAATTAATTAATTAATTAATTAATTAATTCAATTAACCCATATCACAACTCTAAAAGAAAATATAAATATCCCCATTTTATATATAGGGAGAAGGAGGCATAGAGAGGGTAGGAGGTATAGTAATTAGAATATTGAAGAAGTTGGGTTTAGCCATAGAATACATAGCCTCAAGTTGTTCCTCTTCACCACAAACCCAGTACTTTTCCTCTGGGCTCTGAGCTGTCCATCTTTGGAAGGGTAGGTCTTGGCAATCTTGACATTCAAATGTTGGAGAGGGCATTCCAAGAAAAGGGAACAGCTCAAGCAAAGGGATAGGTGTGGGAGAAGAGTGAATATGTACTAAATTTGTAATTACATGGTATAAGATATTCTCAATAGAAAAGGTAAATTCAATACACACTTTAATTACAACTTTAAAATCCTGAAGGAGGATATCTACAAGAAAATATTTCAAGTACTCAACAAAATCCATGCTTTAATATCCACTCCTGAACTTAAATGTATTTGTTAAATATGCACAAGTATTTGGCTGTGTGTGTCTATTTGATGACCCACAGAAAGAATTTGACTTGTTCATTTGCAGACTTATTCAGTCCTCTCCAAAACCAAAAAGGAAAATATTAAGGATCATTCAAAGTTGATTGAAATGTGCCCCATGAGAGAGTTCTACATGTTCCATACATGCACAGATTCTCCTACCTGTGATTAAATCTGATACTCAGTGTGTGTGCATTATTAAGAGATGTACAAAATTTGGACTTTGACTTCGTGACTTTGATAAATTAGAAAGAAAAAAACTACCAACTGGACAGGGTTTGTTTATTCAGCTTTTCTGAAATCAGGGTCAACAATCTTAAACTTTTTAGACTTCATTCTATGTTTGACTTTGTTTCATGATGGTGATCATCATTTCTTCCTACCCAGAAATGAACATCCATCCATACATGAGCCATAGTTTGCCTACCTGTGATTTATTCAGAAAAGATAAATTAGATCACCACAAAAAGCTTTTAAAGACACAAAAGCTTGCTGCAACAAAAAGCATCTATAAGAAACAAAAATTTATATACCCTAGTTGGTGACTCACTTAATTTAAAAATTAATCAATTCTGTACAGCAAACAACTTGGACAATCCAAAAGATTATGTGATACAGTTTAGTTTTATGAATACAAGTAATTATTAATTTTCCTTTGTACTCCTACTCATATCTTTTTAACTAATATATTTTAATTAAAATATTTCTATGGGTT